AGAGTAGGCGCGAAGCAAGAGACGGCATGCCTCGTGGGGTGTGGTGGCACATGTTTTTAATCCCAACAAATAAAACAAACAAGATTTGGGCGGGGGAAGCTAACTAAAGATAAGAAGATGGAGGGAGGCTAAGGGAAGGTCATTCAGTGTGTAAAATGCCTGAAGTTGATACCCAGGATCCACATTTTAAAACAGTCAGTCCTGAGGTTCAGCAGCTAAGAGCACTTGCTGTCCCCAGCACCCACGTCAGGTGGCTCACAACAGCCTGTAATTCCAGCTCCAGGGGCTACAATGCCGGCTCCTGACCTCTGCGGATGCCCAAGCACACAAATTCATGTATAAAAGTAAAGCTTTAAAAAACTGTATAAGTGACCAGGTAGTGGTGGCATACCCCTTTAATCTCAGCACTTGGGAGGCAGAGACAGGTGGATCTCTGTAAGTTCAAGGCCAGCCTGCTCTACAGAGCGAGGTCCAGGACAACCAGGGCTACAGAGAGAAATCCTGTCTTCAAAAATCAAATCAAAACCAACAAACAAAATAAAGTGTAAGTGGAATAAGGTGGTGAATGCTTTTAACCCCCCTGATGGAGAGGCAAGCAGATCCCTGGGGCTAACTGTCCAGCCTGGATCAGGGAGATGCTGTCTGAGGAACATCTGAAAGTGTCCTTTGTCCTCTTTTACACACCTACTCGCCAACTCACACACTGGCAAGCTTTGAAAGAGGAAGTTCTTTGACTTTTGATTTTTTCCTTTCTTTTTTTTCCCCCCTTCGGTTTTTTTAAGACAGGGTTTCTCTGTAGCTTTGGAGCCTGTCCTGGAACTAGCTCTTGTAGACCAGGCTGGCCCTGAACTCACAGAGATCTGCCTGCCTCTGCCTCCCGAGTGCTGAGATTAAAGGCGTGTGCCACCACTGCCCGGATGACTTTTGATGTCACTATGCTCAATCTGAGTGGGGAATGTGGTTCGGTTGGTAGAGTGCTTGCCTTGCATGCAGGAAGCCTAGGGTTTGGTCCCCAGCACCACAGAAAACCAGGCATAAAGGTACATCCAGCATCTGGGAAGCAGAGACAGGAGGGTCAGAAGTTTAAGGTCATCGTTAGCTACCTATCAAGGTTGAGGCTAGCCTGGGCTACCTGAGACCCTGTCTGAAAACCCACAGAGCTCTGGTCTATGTGAGGAGACAGGCAGAGAAACTGACCCACAAACTGTGTGGGTGGGGATTAAGGACAGGGACTTCCTATTCCTAAAGGAGTAGGAAGCAGGGCTCTGGGCCCCTTGGAGGACACAGTAAACAATGACCCTGTCCTCATCTCTCTCCAAAGGACCTGGATTTCAGAGACATTCGGCAAAATGAAGGAGAAGATCAAAACCACATTTGCCTGAGCGCCTGGTGGGCCACCTAGTGCAGCAAGGATGCCCACGTGATGTGGCAGGTCCCTCCTCATCCTACACCAATAAAAAGACTACAGTGAACAAATGCGCCCTGAAGTGCTTTGGGTGGGGGGCGGAGCTGAGGGACGATACTGAGAATGTTTCTTTCACGCGCTTATTTTTACGTGTATGGGTGTTTTATCTGCATGTATGCATGTGCACCATGTATGTGCAGTGTTCATGGAAGCCAAAAGAGGGTGTGACTGCTCCTCAAACTGGAGAAGGTTGTGAACCACCATGTGGGTGCTGGGAAGTGAACCCAGGTCTTCTGGAAGAACAGCCAGTGCTCTTCATTGCTGAGCCATCTCTCCAGCCCTGGTTCTGTCTGCATTGTTTTAATTTAATACTCATATCCCCTCCTCCATGAAGCTCTCCCAGACTCCAGGCCTGTTCTGCATGGCATCTCTGCCAACTCTACCTGGGAACTGTGACCATGAGCCCCCAGGTAACATGGCCAAGACTGTTGTCGCCAATAGGTCCATAGGCATTGTCCACCTAGAGTTGATCACAGGGCCAACGATGAATAATATTTGATCAAAGCAATGATTGCTTAATTTAAACACATCAATTTTTGGCTTTGGGCTTTTTGTTTTGTTTTTGTTTGCTTTTTTTTTTTTGGAAAAAGGTTTACAAGACATGACTCAAGAAGGCTTTGTAGACTAGGCAGGCCTCACTAAAGAATGTCCTTCCTCAGCCTCCTGAATGTTGTATTGTAGGTGTGTGTCACCATGCTAGGCCTGTCTTAACACACTGTATTCCCACAAAACCCAGAGCTTGACACATGCTGGGCAGGGACTCTACCACTGAGCCACACCCCCAGCCTCTCACTGGGGGGATTCTAGACAGGGGTTCTACCACTGAGCTACACCCCAACCCCTCACTGGGGATTCTAGGCAGGGGCTCTACCACTGAGCCACACCCCAACCCCTCACTGGGGATTCTAGACAGGGGCTCTACCACTGAGCTACACCCCAACCCCTCACTGGGGATTCTAGGCAGGGGCTCTACCACTGAGCCACACCCCTAGCCCTTCACTGGGGGATTCTAGGCAAGGGCTCTACCCCTGAGCCACACCCCAACCCCTCACTGGGGGATTCTAGACAGGGGCTCTACCACTGAACCACACCCCCAGCCCCTCACTGGGGGATTCTAGGTAGGGACTCTACCACTGAGCCACACCCCCAGCCCCTCACAGCGGGATTCTAGGCTGGGACTCTACCACTGAGCCATGGCCCAGCCACCTCAGTGGGACATTCCCTCCTTCCTCATTTCTTTCCGAGACTGGATCTTGCTGTACACTTCCTGCATAGACCTGGACCTCACAGATCCATCTTTCACTGACTCCCAAGTCCTGGGATTGCAGGCTTGTGCCACCATGCCTAGTTTTATGCAATGATAGAGATGAAAATCAGGACTTGATGTGTGCTAGGCAAGCATGCTACCAACTGAGCCACATTTCCTAGCCCCCAAACACCCTTTTACTCCAAACTTTCCTGCCACAGCCCCAAGCATCCAGCTCAAGAGGTTAGAAACCTCCAAAAGAAGAGTAAAAAGAATGAGGGTTGAGGACTCAACGGTAAAAGCAGGGATTCTCGATCACGATGAGATCAGCGACCAAGGGACAGGAGTAGGGACCTGGGAGGTTTTGCTGGAGGATCAGCAAGAGTTTGAGACCAGCCTGGCTACAGTGTGACTCTATCTCAAAAACCAAAAAGAGAGCTAAAAGGAGGGTTTCTGTTTGCTGGCGTGCTTGGCGACTTGAAGGACAATTTGGGTATCAGGGATGCTCTCAGTCCTCAGATTTGCACTGTCATGCCACCAACTGTCCCATTCCCTTCACCGATTCCTTTTCTTTCTCCTCCTTGTTTGTTAGTTGCCCCTGATGTCCATCCTGGACGACCTTCAGTCTGTTCCTGTCCCCAGGATGAGCAAACATTGCAGGCACCAAACAGCAAACAGCCCACAGCCACCCTGTGTGCTGACTTTGGATTAAGGGCAGAGGACAGAGACCTTCCCCAGCCCCAGCCCCACTGCCTTAGAATCCTTCATGGGCTGTAGGGTTTGATGGAGAGGGTCAGGCGTTGTCCCTGCATGGTGAAATGGTGAACGATGACCAGATTCAGCCCCCACTAACAACTACAGTCTCAGTTTCCACATATGTGGGAAAAGAATGCTGGATAGGAGCATGATTCAGTGGTAGAGCCCCTACCTAGAATCCCCCAGTGAGGGGCTGGGGCGTGGCTCAGTGGTAGAGCCCCTGCCTAGAATCCCCCAGTGAGGGGCTGGGGCGTGGCTCAGTGGTAGAGCCCCTACCTAGGCACAAAGCCCTGGGTTCAATTCTCAGCCCGGGGGGGGGGGATCTCTAACATCTGGGAAGCACCAAAGCTACTCCCTCTGGGCCTGGAGCACAGTGTGTGTAAGGAAGCATGTGCCAAATAAAGATGATCACACTCAGGCTCTGTTGTAGAGTTCTTGCTTAGCATACACTTGACCCTACATTCTATCCCTGTGGTGGTGCAGTCCTATGACCCAAGCACTTGGAAGGCAGATAGATACAGGGTGATCACAGTTCCAGGCACCTAGGGCTACATCGGGAAAATCCTTATTCAAAAAAGTCAAAGTCTGGCCTGGTGCTGGTGGTACACACCTTTGATTCCGGCACTGTGGAGGGAGAGGCAGGTGGATTTCTGAGTTCAAAGCCAGCCTGGTCCACATAAGTGAATTTCAGGTCAGCCAGAGCTACATACTGAGACCCTGTCTTTAAAAAATAAAAATAAAAATTACTGGGTGGTGATAGCACACACCCTTAGTCCCAGCACTCAGAAGGCAGAGGCAGGAGGATCTCTGTGAGTTCCTGATCAGTATGGTCTACAGAGCAAGTTCCAGGACATCCAGAGCTACACAGAGAAACCCTGTCTCAAAAAACAACAAACAAACAAAAAATCAAACTGTGATATGATGACTTACAACTATCCTCCTGTCTCCACTTTCTGAGTTCTGGGATTAAATGCCTGTGCCACTATGCCTGGCTATCAAATCTGTTTTCTTTTTTTCAAAAATGAATAAATAAAATAGCAACTGACTTAGTTACACTGTGGTCACCCATCTCCTGAAGCTCTGGCCTGTCTCAGGCCAGCCTACAAGACAGATAATTAACCAATCACTTGTCGGTGTGAAGCAATCAGTCTACAGAGGTTAAGCAACGTGCACCAGGTCTCAGTGATGAAAAGAGGTGGGGTTTGGCTACAAACCGCACATCCCTCCTGCTCTGGTGGGCAGCAGGGTCTTCCTATGTCACTCCAGATCAACCCAACAGTCCTCCTGCCTCAGTTTCTCCAGTCTTGGATGCCGGGCATGCATCACCATAACCATGTCCAGCAAGAGGTCCTTCTCATAACCAGACATGGGGATCTGTGGTGGGTTGGTCTGTACTTCTGTTTTCTTTTGTCTACTGTGGAAAAAATAAAACCACAGGCAAGGGCGGACATGGCCTTTGACTGCCAGTGTCAGCAGGCCCATCTCTTTGAAGTTCTGCCAAGAGGAGTGGAGAGGTGACAGAGGGAGGTCTCTTTCTAGTGTAGAGTGGAGCGCAGAGGGACAGAGGGACAGAGGGATCAAGTCCCCAGAAATGTCCCTCCTGGGATGCAGGCTGCAGGCCCTGCCCTTACTTTGCCTCTCTGCGCTGCTTCTGGCCAACCTTGTAGGTGAGGAGTGGGGGATGTGCTGGAGGTGGGATTCTCTGGGTGGGGTACCACTTGGTTTCATCACATGTGTCGGTAGCCATGTAAGACACACACACGGGCGCATACACACACATGCCTACACACACACATCCACACACAGGGATAGAACACAGGGTCTTCAGATGCCAGGCAAACACTCTACCACAGGGTGTTTCTTTTATTTTGTTCTTTGGAGACTCAGGCTCGTGTAGTTGGGGCTGGCTTTAAACTCCGGATAAGGCTAAGGATGATCTTGAATTTCTAATGCTCCTGCCTCCATCCTGAAATGCTCAAATTACAGGCATGCCCTGCAACACCTGGGTTATGTGGTGTTGGGCATCAAACTCAGGACCTCATACATGCAAGACAAGAACTCTCCCAGCAAAGCCTTATCCTTGACTGCTCGGTCCCAGCTACAGTGGTGACAAATGGACATGTCCCCTGATGGGCACCAGTATGCTTTCTGTTTCTATTGTTGCCTAATTCTGTCTATTTGTGATTTTTTTGTTGTTGTTGTTGTCAGGCTTTTTGTTTTGTTTTGAGAAAGGATCTCAGGTAGCCCAGGCTGGCCTTAACTTGCTATGTAGATGAGGCTGGCCTTGAACTCCTGATCCTCCTGATTCTACCTCCTAAGCTCTAAAATCACAGGCATGCAATGCTTCCTGGATGGACATGCATGTGCGTTTGTGATTCTCTACAGGGTACATGTGTGAAAAGTTCTAAGTGTACAGCTATTTCTGTCTGTGTGTTCATACATAGCTTTTTATTTTGCTCATGTATTCAAAATTCTCATGAGCAGAGTATTTTGGCACAGGTCTATAATCCCAGTTCCTCAAAGGCTGAGGCAGGAGGATTGATGGTTGGGGTCCTCAGTCTTTAAAAGTTCAGGAAATAGCTGGACAGTGGGGGTACACACCTTTAATCCCAGCACTCAGAAGGCAGAGACAGGTGGATCTCCATGAGTTTGAGACCAGGTTGGTGTACACAGTGAATTCCTGGTGAGCCACGGTTATACAGTAGGACTCTGTATGACATGCTGCGGCGCTGGAGAGATGGCTCAGCGGTTGAGCACTGGCTATTCTTCTAGAGGACCTGAGTTCAATTCCCAGCACCTACATGGCAGCTCACAACTGTCTATAACTTCAAGATCTCACACAAACATTCATGCAGGCAAAACACCAATGCACATAAAATAAAAATAAAAATATACATGCTTCTTCCACAGACAGTGCTGGTGGTACCAGGTCCCTTCCTGGGTATTTCTTATGTGCTTTCACAGAATGGGAGACTGTGTCTTGGAGTAGTGAAGTCATAGGTGTGGCTTAGGACAGCAGACATAAGTGTCTTGGTGCTAGAGTACGTGTGTGGTCTGGGTATGATGGTACGTGCCTGGACCCCCAGCACTTGGGAGGTGGAGGCAGGAGGATTAGGAGCTCAAGGCTAGCATCAGCTACATAGGAGGCTGCAGGACAAGCTGAGGCTTTGGCTTAGTTGGTAGAGTGCTTAGCTAACACATAGGAAGCCCTGGGCTCCAGCGCTAGCCCTGCGTGAACCAGGACAGGAACACACACCTGTCAACCCACCACTTTGGAGGCGGAGTCAAGAGGATCCGCAGTTATCCTCAGCTACATGAGACCAGCCAGGACTGCAAGAGACCTGTCTCGAAACAAGCAAATAAACAAATAAAATAATAGGTTACAGGTTGGAGGGATGACTCAGTTGTTAAGGACAGGTGGCTAAGGACATGTACTGCTCTTGCACAGGGCTGGAGTTTTGTTCCCAGGCTCACAACTGCCTGGAACCCCAGCTCCAGGGGATCCTATGCCTTTGACCTCCATAGGCAGTACACTTGCTTACATACTCATACAGACAGGAACATATACATATAATTAAAAATAAGTCTTCAAAAATGTTAAAGCAGGCTGGGCACGGTGGCTCACATCTCTTTTTTTTTTAATTTTTTTAAATTTATTTATTATGTATACAATATTCTGTCTGTGTGTATGCCTTCAGGTCAGAAGAGGGCACCAGACCTCATTACAGATGGTTGTGAGCCACCATGTGGTTTCTGGGAATTGAACTCAGGACCTTTGGAAGAGCAGGCAATGCTCTTAACCACTGAGCCATCTCTCCAGCACCGTGGCTCACATCTTTAATCCCAGCACTCAAGAAGCAGGTGATCTCTGTGAGTTTGAGGCCAGTCTTGTCTGCAGAACGAGTTCCAGGACAGCTAGGGCTATACAGAGAAAGCCTGTCTCGAAAAAAAAAACAAAAACAAACAAACAAACAAAAAAAGAGGTTAAAACAAACAAATAAAAAAACAAGTGTGTGCGCCTATACTTGTGTGCTAGTATCCTCGCGTGAGTCTCTGTCTAGGTGTGTGAGTGCTAGAGCAAGAGGTGTGTGTGTGTGTGTGTGTGTGTGTGTGTGTGTGTGTGTGAAGGAAGAGAACTGTGACCCTGGAGGGACTGAAAGCAAAGCCAAGGACATTGTCGTCCATGGTAGAGGATGAATTAAAGTGGGCTTTTGCTCCCCAGTGCACGGAGGCAGTCCTGGTTTTGTGGGAAGAACTGGGAGGCGGGTCAGGGGTCATCCCTGGGCAGTAGGTTGGCAGAAAGAGGCACCAGGTGGGAAGTGAAGGTGCAGACCGAGCAAGAAAATCTCAGGAGACAGAGCCCAGGGAGGGACCAGCAGAGGGGAAGGGAAGATGGCCAAATGATGGGAGGGGCAATGGCAGCAGGGGCCAGTCAGTCAAGCCAAGTACTTCCTGTACTCTTGCTCCTAAGTGGCACAGTAACCCTCAAGCAGGAAGTCACCAGGCCCCTTTTACAGGATGGGAAACTGAGTGTAGGACTGGGGAAGTCAGGTGTTGCCAATAGGGACAGGTGACAGGGGTGTCTGGGTACAAAGGTGAGTTACACCTGCCCCCAGGAGCAGCACACAGTGGGAGAGGAATGGGGTTCTGGGATCCGGGTTCACTCAAGCTTCTCTGATCTTCCCAGCATCCGTGACCACAGAAAGCCTGCTCCCCACGCCTAGCCCTGAGAACAGTCGCTGGAGCCTGGTGAGGGCCAGAGTGATGGAGATGGTGAAGCCGCTGGTGACCAGGACTAGGGACAGATGGCAGTGGCTCTGGTGAGAGAGTTCTGCTACTTGGCTGGGAAGGAACACCAGAGTTAAAGGAAAGAGAGCCAGAGGCTAGACTCTGGGTCTGAGAGAGAAGGGCTGGACCCCTGGGTCTGTGGGTCTGAGGGAGGAGGGCTGGGCCTGGACCCCTGGGTCTGAGGGAAACTAACAGTCTGGAGTCTTGAGTCTGAAGAAGGTCAGAAGCAAATGGGCCAACTGTGGCATCCAGGATGTCAACTAAGATGTCCCCTTTACCCAGGGGCCCTGGGGCTGTCCAGGGCTTTGTGCAGACCTACTATGAAGACCACTTGAAAGACCTGGGTCCTCGCACTCAGGCCTGGCTGCAAAGCTCCAGAGACCAGCTCCTGAACAAGACCCACAGCCTGTGTCCCCGGCTGCTCTGCAGGGACTGGACTCAGGGTTAAAGTGCCACACACCTCCTCCCCCCACCTCCGGCACCCACAATAAAGGTGTTTGTTTTTAAACTGTGTCATTAGCTGAGTAGCTCCATTTGAGGCCAGAGGTCACCACTCGTCATATCTAGGAGTTAATAAGTGGAAAGGCTGTCACCTGGCAGGGAGGACACTAGGAAAGCTTGAGGGGAAGGGGACAAGGTGATAAGCCCCCCTCCCCTCAAGGTTCCGGCTTGAAGTGAACTGGAGACTTCCAGGCGCCTGCTCAGATCCAGGAGGTAAAGCCTTGAGGGCCGACATGGTTCAAAAGAACCATACATTTACAGTGTCCCTCCCTTCCTCGACCATGCAGACCTTAAGCCCTATTCCAAGTGGGCTCCTCAAATCCAAAACCCCTCCACAATATCCAACCCTCTCTCTCAGGGGTTGGGGGGTTGTGTCTCTTTCTTTTGGGGGGGGGTTCTAGGAATTGAACCCAGTGCTTCACACAGACCAGGTAAGTTCCCCGTCACTGAGCCACACTCCCAGCCCTCTTCTAAAAATTACATTTATTCCGGGCCGTGGTGGCACACCTTTAATTCCAGCACTCGGGAGGCAGAGGTTGGTGAATCTCTGTGAGTTCGAGGCCAGCCTGGTCTATAAGAGTGAGTCTAAGATAGTCAGGGCTACACATAGAAACTCTGTCTTGAAGAAAACAAACAAAAAAATTTACATTCATTTAGTGGGTGACAAGGTAGCTAAAAGGTTAGGGCAATGGTCTGTTAAAAATTACATTTATTTATGTGTGAGTGTCTGTGTGTGCTGGCTTAGGTGTGTGTGCCATGTGTACATGTGGAGGTCAGAAGATAGCTTTCAGAGTTGTTCTCTGCCTTCTCTTGGGGAACTGACTCAGGTCCTTGGTCTTGGTCCAAGCTCCTTTACATGATGGGTCAACTTCCCAGAATTCTTCTTATCTTTCTATATATTTTTAGACAGGATCTCACCATGTAGCCCTGACTGTTCTGGAACTTACCATGTTTCCCTGGTTGGCTTTGTTTTTTTCATTTCAAGCTGGGTATGGTGCTACAAACCTGTAATCTCAGCACCTGGAAGGACAGCCTCAGCTACACAGAGAGTTCCGGGGTAGCCTGAGCTACATGAAACCCTGGGTGAATAAAACCCAAGCTGAGACTTTTTGTCTTCAGATAATATCTTGCTAAGCTGCCCAGTGGGTCCTGAATTCATGATCCTCCTGCCTCAGTCTTCTGAGAGAGATTGAGATCTCTGCCCACTTTATGGATAGCTCTTTCAAAACGGGGCTTCACTGGGGTTTAACCTGGCAGGGGACGTCACTGGCCACTGCCCTTCCAGCCTTGCAACCCCACCCCCTCCACGACTCTGTTGGCTAGGACTTTGGCCTAGGACAGAGGAGCTGCCTGATATGGAGGGAGGGGACCCTCCAGACCTATAAAACCTGCCAACCCACTGGAGTTAGTGAGGACAGTCCCAACCTGCCCGTTACATTCAGGTAAGAGAGGGACAAAGGGAAGAGGGCAGGAACATCAGGGAGGGACAGAGATCCCTAAACCAGAAATTGCAGGTGTCCCCTTGTTAGAAGTTTGTCTTAGAATCAAGGAATAGAAGGATTTTTATTTTATTTTGTTTTATTTTATTTTGTTTTATTTTATTTGGGACAAGGTCTTTCACTATGTAGCCCATGATAACCTTGAATTTTTGATCCTTCTGCCTCAGCCTAGCATGCTCTGGTGTGCCTGACTAAAACAGTGAAGTTTAGGTTTGTAGTCTGTCTGTTTAGCTTGGCCCTTCTCCCAGGTTTCATCTCTACCTTTTTTTCAAAGGATTTTTTTTCCAGGACAGGGTTTCTGTGTAGCTTTGGGGCCTGTCCTTGAACTAGCTCTTGTAGACCAGGCTGGCCTCGAACTCATAGAGATCCGCCTGCCTCTGCCTCCTGAGTTCTGGGATTAAAGGTGTGTGCCACCGCTGCCCGGCTGGATCTTTTATTTCTTATGTGTATAGATGTTTTGCTTCCATGCATGTGCACCATGGGCAGGCTTGGTTACCTGAAGAAGAAAGCACAGGATTCCCTGGGACTGGACTCAGACAGTTGTGAGCTGCCACGGGGGTGCTGGGAATCGAACCCAGATCCTCTGTAAGAGCCGTCCTCTTAACCGCTGGGTCATCTCTCCAGCCCTGATTTCAGCCTGCTGCTGTCTCAGTTTTCCGTTCCCAAAATATGGGTGGTGACTCTGTGCCTTGGTTAGACAAACCTCTAGAGTCACAAGTGTTGGCGTGGACTCTGTCCCAGGGTGTCTTTCTGCCAAGCTGGTCTTGAACTCACAGAGATCTGCCTGCCTCTGCCTCTTGAGTGCTGAAATTAAAGGGGTGCCCCACCTCTGCGCAGCTACATTTTCTTACATTTCAGTTTTTTGTTTGTGTGTGTGCGTGTGTGTATGCCCGCATGCACACGCGTGTGCATTGGCACACATGTAGAAGTCAGAGAACAACTTGCAGGAGTTGGTTCTCTCCCTCCACCATGTGGGTTGCAGGTATTGAACTCAGGTCTTCAGGCTTAGCATCAGATCCCCTTACCCACTGAACCATCCACCTAGAATGCCCAACTTCATCCTCAAGGTTTTAACAAAGAATGTGTTTTAAAAGGGTTTGTTTCTGTTTCCTACTAATCCAGGCCTGTTTAGTCCCCTGTCAGCTTTCCTGAGTGAATGAATGGAGAGGTGTTTCTCAGTTTCCTGGTCTGGGCTTCACTGGCATGTTGAAGGCCCTGAGTGGGGAAAAGTGTCCCCAGACATTGTGGTACATGACTGTACTCTCAGCACTCCAGAGGCAGGGGAATGTTAAAAGTTCAATGCCAGCCTCATCTATTCAGAAAGAATCTGCTTTCTGTTTTTGTTTTCTTGTTAGAAAAGGAAAGAGACGGCAGAAACTGTCAAAATCTAGAGTGCAGAACTGGAGTTGCCGCCCACTTGGTAGAGTGCTTGCCTGATGTGCTCAGGGTCCTAGGTTCAATTCCCAGGACCACAGAAACTAGGCATGGTGGGACACATCTGTGATCCCAGCACTGCAGAGGCAGGAGAATCAGAAGTTCCCAGTGAACTTAGTCAATTATTAGTCAATTTGTGGCCAACATGGGTTATATGAGACTCTGCATTTAAAAGAAAGTGGGGGGGGGATTTGGGGAGATGACTCAGTGGTTAATAGCACTTGTTGCTCTTGCAGAAGACTTAAGTTTGGTTCATGGCATCCACATGGTGATGATTCACAAACCTAACTCCAGTTTTAGGGGATCCTGTTCTTTTTCCAGCCTCTGTAGGTCCTAGGCATGTGCTCGGTACTGCGTGCAATTATATACATGCAGGCAAAATCCCATATACATCATCATTATTATTATTATTATTATTATTATTATTATTTGGTTTTTCGAGATAGGGCTTCTCTGTAGCTTTGGAGCCTGTCTTGGAACTAGCTCTTGCAGACCTGGCTGACCTCGAGCTCACAGAAATCCACCTGCCTCTGCCTCCCAAGTGCTGGATTAAAGTCACATGCCACTATCCCTGGCTTCATATGCACTTAAAAAAAAATAAGAACCAGGCATGGTGATACACACCATCAACCCCAGCACTTGAGAGGCCAAGGCAGGTGCCTATTTGAGTTCGAGGCTAGCCTGGTCTACACAGTGAGCTCCAGGTCAGCCAGGACTAGATAATGAGAAGTTGTGTTGCCCATCCTCTTCCCCCAAGAAGTGTCTACAGTCAAACTCCAGATGGCACCTTATCTGAATGAACAGATTTAAAGCCCTGGTTGGACAGGAGTAGGGACAGAGAAGGGTCCCCGGCCACCCCTAGCAGCATACTGTCCAGTGGTTCTGCTAACACGACACTGTTCTCAGTGCTCCAGGTCACAGACAGCAAGCATGGACTCTCGGTTCCTCCTGGCTCTCTTCCTTGTCCTCCTGGTGTTGGGATGTGGTGAGTGGGGCTTCAAGGCGATGGGGAGAGGGTGGGGGTCGGTGAGGAAGGGGTGGAGTCATTTCAAGCAGGTTTCCACATTCCTCTGCCACCCCTCTTCTCCCTTACAATGCTTCCACTTACCAAAGTCCCCTGTGTGCCTCCAATCTCACCATCACCTTGGGTTTCTCCCAGAGGTCCAAGCAGCCCAGCAGCTGCAGCAAGACGATCCCGGCAGTCCAGCACTGCTGGGCAAGGTGCAGGAGTCCATCTCCAGCTACTGGGACACGGCTAAGGCGGCTGCCCAAGACCTATACCAGAGAACATACCTGACCAGTGTGGATGAGAAACTCAGGTGCGTGCTGCCTGGTGGCGACAGATCCTGACACACTCCTGTAGATCAGGGACCAGGCCCAGCCTCCTCCTTCACACCACGGGATCCAGACCCCAGCCTTCCTCTCTCAGACAGAGGAATATAGGCCCCATCTCATTTTCTCTCGAATGCAGAGATCCAAACCCGGCTTTGTCTCCCTCAGAACCAGGGCTCCAGTTCCTAGGCTCTTCCTCCAATCCCCCTGTGCTTTCTCTCCAGGGACATGTACAGCAAAAGCTCGGCGGCCATGACCACTTATGCCATCATTTTTACGGATCAGATCCTTACTCTCCTAAAGGGCGAGTAAACCCCATGTGAGGGGAAGGGAGAAGCAGCCCTCGGGCTCTTTGCCCTCATCTGACCAGGATGGATCTACATTCCCCTGTCCCTGCAGCCCTTGTCTTCCTGTTCTCATCTCCAGACTAAATTCTTTCAGTGAAAGAATAAAACAAACCCAGTTCACTGAATTTGGTGTGGCTTTTTTTTTTTCTTTTCTGAGACTCCCAGAGCCTATGGAATCTAGTCAACATTGGATGGGTGTGGTTTTCTGACAAGATGGCTAGCATCCTGAGTTCTGAACATTTGGTGAGCACCTGCATGCCTGTGCCTTTAACCCCAGACCTGGTCCATTGGAATGAAGGGGTAACTACAAGCCAGGCATGTGGGTGTGAACCTGGGCTTGATAACTGAGGCAGGAGGATCATAACAATCTAAACCCTGGGCTACATAGTGAGTTT